TATAGAAAATTTTTGAAATTTACTGTTCACCGCCGGAATTTACTGTTCTACGCCGAAAACACTGTTCACCGCCTTACTGTTCACACTGGAAACACTGTTCAGGGCACTATTCACGCCAGAAAATACTGTGCACGCGTACTGTACGCGTTTTAGCCATGACGTCATGATGATGTCACTGATGACGTCAGCAGTCGCTGTACATACGTAGTTTGCACTGTTCATATGCGGTTTGCACTGTTCATAGGCGGTTTTACTGTTCATCTGACACTGTTCATACGATACTGTTCACTTTTTTTTTTTTTTATAAATAATTTCAAACTCCATCTAAATCTATTCCAATACCAAATAATCCTTCAATTAACATTGAACAAGTATAAAATATTATAGATTACTCAATAATAAATCTCTAGCCTGACAATTCTCCCCTCGAAAATAAATTTTCGTCCTCGAAAATTTCATCAGTCAGAGAAAAGATGAGGGTACAACTTTCTTATTCTTTCCTCTAACTCCCATGTGGCATCACCAGTTACTGGGTCCCAAACAACTTTTACTAACCGAATAGATTTGCCTCTAAGTTCCTTAACTCTAGTTTCCTCGATACGAGCAGCTGGGACCTCGACAGACAAATCATCTCGTAACTCCATAACATCAGGCTCAATTACATGAGATGAATCCGGAACATACTTTCTTAGCTACGACACATGGAAAACATTATGTAGTCCTGACAACTGAGGTAGTAACGCTAATTCATAGGCTACTGGTCCTTTACGATGTAATATCTGATATGGTCCTATGAATTTAGGTGTTAACTACTTAGCTCTTAAGGCTCGCCCCACACCTGTAGTGCGTGATACTCTCAAGAATACGTGATCACCAACCTCAAATTCTAGAGGTCTTCTGCGTCGGTCAGCATAAGATTTCTACCGACTCTGGGTAGCTCTCAGCTTTTCTCTAATAAGTTCAACTTTCTCCTTAGTTTCTTGCAGCATTTCAGGTCCAACCATCAAATGTACTCCATCTTGGAACCAACAGATAGGGGTTCTACACCTTCTACCATACAGAGCTTCAAATGGTGCCATATCTATACTCGAATGGTAGCTATTATTATAAGTGAATTCTACCAAAGGAAGCATATCCTCCCAATTACTCTTCTGCTCTACAATACAAGTCCGCAATAAGTCCTCTAAGGTCTGAATAGTACGCTCAGATTGACCATCTATCTGCGGATGATATGCAGAACTCAACCTCAACTGTGTGCCCATAGCTTCTTGGAAACTCTGCCAAAACTGGAAAGTGAATCGAGGATCCCTATCAGAGATAATACTAGAAGGTACTCCATGTAACCTGACAATCTCTCTAATGTACAATTCTGCTAATTTCTCCAAGCTAAAGGTCATGTTAATTGGCAAGAAATGCGCACTCTTGGTTAGCCTATCAACTATGACCCATACGGCATCATGATTTTTAACTGTTCTAGGTAGATGGGACACAAAGTCTATAGTCACATGGTCCTACTTCCACTCTGGAATTTCCATCGTCTGCAACTCTCCTGGAGGGCTTTGGTGCTCCGCCTTTGCCTTCTGGCAAGTCAAACAAGCTTTAACAAATTCAGCTATCTCTCACTTCATGCCTGGCCACCAAAACATCTGCTTTAGATCTTGATACATCTTGGTAACACCAGGATGAATGTTGAGATTACTTTTATGTCCTTCTTCTAGAATTGCTTTCTTTAATTCAGTATCTCTAGGGACACAAACTCGACCTTGGCATTTGAGAATACCATCAGCACTTTTACTAAAACCCTTTGCTTTATCTGTCTTTAATTTCCTATAAGAAATTATTAGTCACCACAATTCGGCTACAACTAATCTTTTCAGGTGATAAGTCCACATGTATGTTCAGGTGTTGGAATTGTGTTGCAGCAGCGGCTTGGTTTGCAGCTTGCTGCTGTTGAATCATATCTAGACTCTGCCTAACAGTGGCTGCCATGGCCTCCATGGCGTGAGCCATTTGGTTCACGTCAGCAGAAGGAGGAGGGTTTGTAGCAGCTCTTCTTGGTCTAGCCATCCTAATATATAGACTAGCTTAGTTTACTAACGTTTAATACATTCAGCAATACCATCACATAACTATATTCACTGATTCAGCTTATAGTGATATATTCATATTTAGTATATCATAACAATTTAATCAGTTTAGCACTGAGGATAACATTATATCAGCATTCACACAGCATAGCAAACACACTTATCTCAGCAATCATTTTCAACTTATCTCAACAGCCTCTTATTCACATAGTATGACTCACCTATAGCTCACCCCAGTATCATATACCAAAATTTTCTACATCTATCGTGTCTGAGAACCGAGGTGATCAAGCTCGTTCCCTCACAACCTGATGATTAGAAATTATGATATATGATTCACAGCTAAAATTCACATGTCTAATATGCACAACTAACGTCTAACAACCTCACCCCGTAGGTTTACCTAGACCATGCTCTGATACCACTAAAATGTCACGACCCCTTTTATAAGGAACCGAGAACATTGTTTCTACATCACAAACTTATTTAAAATAAATAAAGTATAGAGAATATAAATATGAAATTCTCTTCTCATTCAAAATAAAACAGAGTTTCTTACAACAAATATCTAATAAAACAACACAATATTACATTTAGTTCATAATATTCAAAATACCCAAAATTATACTACGTAGCTCCCTCTACATGAGGTCTCAAAATATAAGGAAAAAGGACTTTGATGCAATATTACTCGACCCCAGCTTCAATCATTTCTTCACTGGCCCCTCAGCCTGTGAAGTAGATGCAACACCTGCTACATCTGCTCACGTACCACCGTACGATCATTGCAGTACACACGCACACAACGACATAGAAAGAAATGCAAGGGTGAGCTTACCAAACTTAAAATAAAATCATATATATATAGAGCAAAATATTTCTCACAGCAATAATCCCATGCAGTTCCAGCCCATCTAATGCTCAGCATGAAAACGGTTTCCAACTAGTTTCACAGCCTAAGTAATCCAGAAGGAACCGAGCCGGTCCGGGAGCGACCCATTCCGGTATCTGGATCCAGACAGCACAACACAGCAGCTCAGCATGAACTTACCGTTACATGTCTACCCACCTAAACATGTAACTCAGCTCTATAATGATGCAAAATATATATCGCAGCACGATGCACACCGCCAAAGTTATTTTAACAGCTCAACTAAAGCAAGTTTATAATAGATCAGCCAAAATCTCAGCATTTTAAATCAATTAACAGCAGTTACAGCTTAGAAAATAGCTTTTATTCAAAAGATCTAACAAAATCATATCAAAACATCTTGAAATAGCATTCTTAAACCGTTCAAAATGTAGTTCATAGGTTAAAGTAAACTCCCCTTACCTCAGAAAGATAATTCATACTAGATCTACCGAATATTACTTGTTTTAATGCAAGATTCACCGAAGATTCAGCTTTAGAACGAAGTTTCTCCTAAGAACACCATGAACTTCTATGAGAAAGAGAAGGAGAAGAGAAACGAACGGTAAATCTAGCTTCAAACTTAAAGCAACTTACTTCAAATCCTTCAGAATAGACGTAGAATCTCAGATCTGGCGAGAAATCTAAGTTTAGGAAGGTTTAGTATGAGAGAAATGGTGGTATTTGCCGGAAACACTGTTCAGGGCACTATTCACGCCCGAAAATACAGTGCACGCGTACTGTACACATTTGTGACGTCAGCAGTCACTGTACATACGCGGTTTGCACTGTTCATAGGCGGTTTTACTGTTCATCTGACACTGTTCATACGGTACTGTTCACTTTTTTTTTTTTTTTTTAATAAATAATTTCAAACTCCATCTAAATCTATTCCAATACCAAATAATCCTTCAATTAACATTGAACAAGTATAAAATATTATAGATTACTCAATAATAAATCTCTAGCTTGACATAAAATCCATAGAAGCCATGTTTGCTCAAAATCAACTTCAGAATCAACAATTTTCTGAATAGCTTGCTGCCTTGACTCAACAAATAAGTAACATGCAGATTGGTGTGGTTCAAAATTCACAGTTGAGTTGTGATTTCTGTGGTGGCAACCATGTGAATGGAGCTTGTGATCCCACAAATATGGAACAACCTGATGAAGTCAACTATATGCGCAATTATCAAAGGCCACAACAACCATATCCACTTGGTTTCCAGCTAAATAACAATAGCGGACAATAGTTTTCTAAGTGGAATCCACATAATTCTACTGCAAGAGGAAATACAGCTACTGCACCTTTCCAAAGTGCATCTTCTTAAGTCCAGCAACAATATTTTCAAGGAAGTTCTTCTGCACAATTTTAGAAAAACCAAGGGTATTCAAATTTAAGACCCTTGAGTGAGAAAGTGAATGGAATTGAAGAGACACTATTGCAGTTTATGAAGGTGACAGAAACTAATTTCAAAAATCAAGAAAGTTCTATAAAGAAGTTGGAAACACAAATTGGGCAGTTGGCTGAGCAACTTGCAAATAGAGATGAAGGAAGGTTCCCTAGTAGCACAATAGTGAATCCAAAGGAGCAATGCCAAGCTATAACCACTAGAAGTGGAGCAATAGTTTCCAGCCCAAGAAAGAAAGATGAAGCCACCAATTCAAAGGAAGAAATTGAGCTGAAACAAGAGGATTTTGAAAGTGGGAAATATACTATGTTAAAGAGAGGAGATGATGACGAAAATTGCAAAAATAAGCAAGAAAAAAGGGGCAAGAAACAGAGATTTGAGCAGGCCTACAAACCTGTTAATGAAGAGTAATACAAGAGATTACCTTTTTCAAAAAGAGTACAAGATCCTAGACAAGAAAAGCAGTTTGAAAGGTTTATTGATATGTTCAAGAGGCTACAAATTAATATACCATTTGCAGAGGCATTAGAACAAATGCCTTCATATGCAAAGTTTATGAAAGAACTATTGTCTAAAAAGAGGAAGCTGGACATGAAAAAATTGGTACCACTCATTGAAGAGTGCAATGCCATTTTGCAGAGAAAACTGCCTCAAAAGTTGAAAGATCCAGGGTTATTTAGCATACGCTGCTCTATTGGAAATTGCACAATAGGAAAAGCTCTTTGTGACTTGGGAGCCAGCATAAATTTAATGCCTTTAGCCATTATGAAGAAGCTGGGAATTGAGGAGGTGAAGCCAACCGGGATTACATTACAATTGGCTGATAGATCATATATGTATCCCTATGGAGTAGTGGAAGACCTCTTAGTCAAGGTGGACAAGTTTATATTCCTTGCAGATTTTGTTATACTTTATATGGAGGTAGATGTGGATATCCCTCTCATATTAGGAAGGCCATTCTTAGCCACAGGGAGAGCCTTAATAGATGTGCAAAAAGGTGAATTAATGCTAAGAGTACAAGAGGAGAAAGTCATTTTTAATGTATTTAAGGCCATCAAACATCCAAGTGATGATATGAGCTGCATGAAGATTGATGTAATAGATGTTGTGATACCACATTCATTCAAGAAAAATGATGAAAGTGTGGTCTTGGAAAGCACATTAGCTGCAGCAAAATGTAGTATTCATGAAGAGCAAGATGCGGAAGTGAAAGACTGCATTCTACAATTAGATTCCCTTCCCTGTATGAACAAGGAAATAAACCAACTCAAGGAAGAACTACATCATGAAGAAGAGAAGAAAGATGAGCCAAAAGTGGAGCTTAAGCAATTACCTTCTCATTTGAGGTATGTGTTTCTTGAAGAGGGCCACAACAAACCTGTAATAATAAACAGGAATCTGCAGAAAGATCAAGAAGAAAAGCTCTTAAGAGTGTTAAGAGAGCACAAATCTGCACTAGGATGGCAGATTTTAGATTTGAAAGGTATAGATCCTTCTTTTTGCATGCACATAATTTTATTTGAAGAAAATTGCAAGCCTGTTGTCCAACCCCTAAGAAGACTTAATCCAACTATGAAGGAGGTAGTGAGGTAAGAGGTGATGAAAGTACTAGATGCAGGAGTTATTTATCCAATTTCAGATAGTTCATGGGTAAGTCTGGTTCATGTGGTGCCTAAGAAAGGAGGTACAACTGTTGTTCCAAATGAAAAAAATGAATTAATACCTACTAGGATAGTAACCGGATGGCGAATGTGCATAGATTATAGGAAGTTGAATGATGCATCAAGGAAAGATTATTTTCCTTTTCCATTTGCTGACCAAATGCTGGAGAGATTGGCTGGGTTTGACTACTATTGTTTCCTAGATGGATATTCTGGTTATAACCAGATTGCAGTTGACCCAAGAGACCAAGAAAAGACAACATTCACTTGTCCTTTTGGAGTCTTTGCATATAGAAGAATGCCATTTGGGCTGTGCAATGCTCCAGCCACTTTTCAAAGGTGTATGCTGTCCATTTTTTTTGATATGATTGAAAGAATTATAGAAGTTTTTATGGATGACTTTTCTATATTTGGTAATTTTTTTGATCAGTGTCTAGCTAATTTATCTCTTGTTTAGCAGCATTGCTAAGACTCAAACCTTGTTCTCAATGGGGAAAAATGCCATTTTATGGTACAAGAAGGGATAGTCTTAGGACATAAGATTTCAGCAAGGGGAATGGAAGTGGATCCTGCAAAAGTAGAAGTAATTGAGAAGCTTCCTCAACCTGTAAATGTTAGAGGAGTAAGATGCTTTTTGGGACATGTTGGATTCTATCGCAGGTTCATTAAAGACTTTTCTCAAATTGCCAAGCCATTAAGTGAGTTGCTGGGTAAGGATGCAGAATTTGTTTTTGATGATAAGTGTTTAGTAGCTTTTAATACTTTGAAAGAGAAATTGATTTCTGCACATGTACTTGTTAAGCCAGATTGGGAATTACCTTTTGAGCTGATGTGTGATGCTAGTGATGTAGTTATAGGAGCAGTTTTAGGCCAAAGAAAAGACAAGAAACTGCATGTTATTCATTATGCTAGTAGAGTTCTTAACCCTGCACAAATTAATTACACTACTACTGAAAAAGAACTCTTAGCTATAGTCTTTGCATTTGACAAGTTTCAATCTTATTTGATAGGGTCCAAGGTTATAGTTTACACTGACCATGCTGCTCTTAAGTATCTTTTGTCAAAGCAGGATGCCAAGCCCAGATTATTAAGGTAGATTTTACTCCTTCAAGAATTCGAGTTGGAGATCAAAGACAAGAAAGGGAAGGAGAATGGAGTTGCTGACCACTTGTCAAGATTACCACTTGAAGCAATACCATTTGAAGTAGAGCAAATAAAAGAAGAGTTTCCAGATGAGAGCTTATTCAAGATTGACTCCCAGCCTTGATTTGCTGATATGGCCAATTTTAAAGCTACAAATCATGTTCCAAATTGGATGAGTTGGCAGCAGAGAAAGAAATTCTTCCATGACAGCAAATATTATGTACGGGGAAGATCCTTTGCTGTTTAAAATTGGAATAGATGGGCTGCTGAGAAGGTGTATACTAGAGGAAGAGCAGAAAGATGTTTTGTGGCATTGTCATAGTTCAGAATATAGAGGACACCATGGTAGTTCAAGGACAACAGCCAAGGTTTTGCAATCTGGTCTTTTCTTGCCAACATTGTTTAAGGATGCTAAGAAATATGTGGAGAGATGTGATAGATGCCAGAGAATGGGAAATATTTACAGGAAAAATGAGATGCTACTACAAAACATACTTGAGGTAGAGCTATTTGACATGTAGGGAATAGACTTCATGGGTCCTTTCCCTACTTCATTCTCGAATGAGTACATGTTAGTAGTAGTGGACTATGTGTCCAAATGGGTGGAAGCAATTCCTACCAGATCCAATGATGCAAGGACTGTTATTTCATTCATCAAAAAGAACATTTTCTCAAGATTTGGAGTTCCCAGAATTCTGATAAGTGATGGAGGAAGCCATTTCTACAACAAATATCTAGAATCAGTCTTAGAGAAGTATGGAGTCAAGCATAGAATAGCTACACCCTATCACCCTCAAACAAGTGGTCAATTGGAGGTTTCTAACAGAGAAATAAAATAGATTTTGGAGAAGGTGGTGAGTAATTCAAGGAAGGACTGGTCCAAGCAGGTGGATGATGCTCTATGGGCATACTGGACAGCCTTTAAGACACTAATTGGCATGTCTCCTTATCAGCTACTGTATGGAAAGGCCTGCCACTTACTAGTGAAGGTAGAACATAAAGCCTTTTGGGCTGTAAAATGGTTGAATTTTGACCAAGCTAGTGCAGGAAACAAAAGACTGCTACAACTGCATGAATTGGATGAGTTCAGACTCAATGCATATGAAAATGCTAAAATATACAAGGAAAGGAACAAAAAGCTGCATGACAGATTTATTCTGAAAAGGGATATTAAACCTGGACACTTTGTGTTACTTTTTAATTCAAGGTTGAGATTGTTTCCAGGGAAGTTAAAATCTAAGTGGTCTAGAGCTTTTGTGGTGAAAGAAGTCTCACCATATGGTGCTGTACTGATAGCAGATCCCAAGGATGGCAGAGAATTCAAGGTGAATGGGCAAATCTACCTTGGAGGTCAAATTGAGAAAGCCCGAGTGTGTTTGAAATTGGTCCCTCTTGAATGAGGACTATTTAACATCAAGCTAGTGACATTAAAGAAGCGCTTTGCGAGAGACAACTCACATTTCTAAAATTTCTGCACATATACTATTGCATCTGGTTTTTTGAAGTGAATACCATAATTGATTAAGAGATTTGAGGTTGTGAGAAGTAAATTGAAGGATTAGAGTGTGAGAAGTGAGTTAATTGAGGTTTTAGAGACATTTGATTAATGAAAGGAGTCACTATTTTGAGGATCTCTGATGGAACAATCACTTTTACTGACAAAAGTGATCACGCAGAGGCAGATGAGAAAAAAATACTCTTTGGAACGCTCACTTTCCCTGGCAAAAGTGGTTATGCACAGGTAAGTTTGATTTCTCTTATGTGCGTTACTCCTTTTTGTGAAAAAAGTTGCAACACAGCTTACGCGTTATCACTTTGCCCAGCAATAATGATAACGCGCCCCTCACCCAGAAAATTTAACTCTCTGGAACGTTCACTCTAATAAGATAAAGTAACCATGCTGAGTGTCTTAAATGCTATAACGTTCACTTTTCTTGCTTAAAGTTGTCACGTGCCCACGCGTGACTATAAATATAAACACCAGTGAACACGCACAAACCTTTGCACCTAAAAATTCCTCTTATCTCTGAACGTTCTCTACGATTTCACTCCTTGTGCATAACAACCTAGTAGCAACAAGCTTTTCCCCATATTTCTACATCCTTTTCGTCAGGTATGCGATCCTCTTCTCTCTGAAATAGCAGATTAGGGTTTTCTGTGTTAATATTTTGGGGTAAATGAAAAAGGGAGCAATAGGAAATTATTTTAAGGTTATTTGACTCAATAAAAGCATGGACAATACACTGAATAAGTTTCCCTGTCATTTAAATTTTTTTTTAGAAGATTCGAATCTGTATTACTTTGATTGAATCATTTTTGCTGAAAATGATTGGGTTGAAAAACCATGTTTGAAAATTAGTTGAAACCTGAACATATTGCTCTCTACTACCTTGTTTCGTTGTAATAGTGAATGCATTCCGAACTTTCAAATTAGGAATCTTTAAATTTCTCTGAATCTGGTTGTTTAAGGTTGTGCATCTGTATGTTTTCTGGTTTTAAAGTTAGAAGAAAATCTCGAATGAGTAATGAGACATTGTTCTGATATGATTTGATTCAACAATAGAAATGGGCAAGGCTTTGAATAAGTTTTCACTGTTGTTTATGATTTTATTGGAAAATTTAAACCTGCATTATTCAATGGTGGACATTATGTGAACAAAATTTCTGCAGAAATTAGGTTGACATAATAAGACTTTAGTGAAAATGGTTGAAGTGAAATTGTTGAGTGTGATTATCTGAAGGAATATGTTTCTCTGAAATAGAATTGAATGCTTGAAAAATGTTATGATAATCAACTCTGTAGTATGATGATAAAATAGCTCTTTACTGACATTGTGTGAGTTGAAGAACTGTGTTTAAAAATTTGTTGAGACTTGTGAATCTTCTTCTGCATTACCATAAATTTCTGTGAAAGTGTGCATTTTGAATTTACAAAATTAGGAAGATCAGTTTAAAATTCTTTAAATATGGTTGTTCAAATCTGTGCACTTGTACTTTTCTATCTGCATACTGATATGCCCTGTTCTGTTTTCTGCGTTAACATGAAATGATCTAAGAGTGTGCACGCTGACTTTATACATTAGGAGTTAACATTTTCTGGTTATCAATGCTTAATAATGTGCAGTGGTGCTTATGTATAGTATGTTAACTCATCATTAGAGTAGAATACATGTTATGCTGTTAGAAGAAGGGAGTTTTTGTAAATGGTTTGATTGAAAATTCTTCAATACATAACTTTATACTTAGGCAACTGGTGTTTTGCAAGAAGTTAACTTTCATATTTTTATTGTGCATTGTAGCAACTAAAAATGGCCAAAACCTCTTTGAACACAACAGTGGGATCTTCTAGGAAGAATCAAGCTGGATCTTCCAGCAACACTCCAAAAAGAAGATCCAACAGGAACATTCAAGCTGGAACCTCCAAAAATACTCCTAAATCAAAGAAGGCCAGAACAGATGGTGCATCAGCTTCATCTCCAATTGAAGTCTGTGATCCAAGGTTCAGAAGTATTGCCCATGAGAACTTTTTCAAGGTAAATATTCTAAGGAGGAAGATTGTCCCAGACAGAGCTTTTGAAATAGCTGGAGACAATTACCCAGAATACAAGGAAGAAATTCAGAAGAGGGATTAGTAATCCTTCTGTTCTTTAGCTGGAATGGGTTGGAGGGAAATAACCCAGGAGTTTTATACCAATGCTGTTAGGTTTAAAGGAGACAAATTTCCTAAGTTCAACACAATGGTGAAGGGGATGAGAGTGGACTTCACTCCTGCAAACATAAACAAAGTGT